CCTTGGTGGCAGGGGGCTTGTTTTTGACTCCTAAAACACCTACATTGTTACATCCCTCATAGACATCTGCTCTGAGAGCTCATGTATTTCAGCTAGCTGCGCCCTTCCTGTCGTTCTATGATTTCCACTACAGTGGGATTTTTCACCCCTTAAAAAGCACACAAGGAGGAAATCCAGAATCAAACTTTCAGGCAAACTTTTCTATAACGGGAGCCGGTCCAGGCTCCCGTGATGTGCGTAGTTAGGACCCTATGAAGACAGTATAATCTGGAAGTAACTGGAGAAGGACAACAGAGAAAACACGAAGAGGATCAGGACAGGATGAAAGACAGGGGGGCGTCATGGCGGTTATCTGGTGCTCGGGGGAGTTTGGCGCAGGCAAACAAGTCCAAACAGTCCAAGGGGGAAATCTGGAGTGCAGTCCAAGGTCCAGGTGCTGGGAGAACCATCCAAGACAGACAAAGTTAAAATCCGGAATGGTATCTGGAGCAGGAACGGGGTGTTAAAAACAGGGTAAGAGGCCAGGCACTCCGAGCCCCGGACTCAGATGGTCAGGACGCCGTTCTGAAGCCGATGCCGTCGGGTCTCTCCTTGACCCGCTGGTAGGCGGGCTTCCGGGTGTCCGTCTCCTAATGCTGAGCCAGGAATAGCGGGAGTGCCGGGCTTAAATAATAACGGGCAAAACAGGGGGCAGGTGCACGTAATAAACTAAAATACGAAAGGGTTGGAGCGTGCTTAAGAGGAGGGATGACGATCGTGACGTTTTGGGCAAGCTCACGAAAGTTTGAGGTTTTCTCTGTATTGTTAGCATGTGCTAACAAGCTTCATTTAATTAGTTATTAGTCAACAGAAAGTTTAGGATGTGTGAATTTCAGGGCAGGATCAGAAGAGGCAAACCATATTACAGCATACGGTTCCTCTCCTGCCTTCATAACATGGATTGGGATGCTTGAAGAAAACTTGTCCTCGGTAGGCCCAGCACATTCAAAGCCAAGTCTGAAAGAAGTGTAATTTGGCAGTTTTTCACTTTGGCATTTTGTAGATGTTTTAAAAGGAAAATAATAATATACATTCAGCATATTTACATATTCACAGCAAGGAGCTGTGGCACTGCGTGGTTTAGAGTTTGGAATGTTTGTAATTTAGAACCGTTGTATAATTTTCTATTCTAAAAATCTAAAATTGCCATTTCAGCTATTCTTATGTCTTTTAGCTCAGCTTGGCTTCCCCACGTTTAACCACACATTATCATAAATGTCTAGGGGAATGAAACTTCCTGCTTGAAAAATGCAGTCTTGGAGCCGTAGATCTTTCACTAGAGTTACCGTATCTCAAAGACCACTGGCATCCCCAGCTCGCTGTCTTAATTCAGGCATCCAGGCCTGATATTCGACTTGTGACTCAAGGGGCCTGCTGGAGGGTCAGCCAGTGCTCAGGGCAAATTAAAACTTCTTTAGGTTGGGAGGTGTTTAAAACTTGTTCCAATTAACTTACTTAAAGGCCCCAGCTTATACATTTAGAGCTATAATGGGAAATCCACACATCCGCATAGCAGAATCTGGTGTTGTACTGGCTGATGAATACAAACCTTAAAAACCCCCTTTTAGGCTCAGTGTCATTTAAGCTGAGCCACGGTACTTAGCCTCTTTCTGTATATATTAACTCTTTAATCCAATGAATCACCACATGAAGAATTTAAACTTGCATTTCAGCATCTGCTGCAGTCACAGATGGTAATATCCGTCCCTTTATACTAAATAACTTTTCTAATCTGCACTGGTGCAGTAATCTACTTAGGCAGTATTACTGCACCTAATTCTGTTTCTACAGTACCAGTTAGTTTAACAAGGCTAGATGTGGTCTGTTAGCTTCTCCCTGTGACACAGGCGGTGTGGATTAATAGCCTCTCTCTTGTAATCCTACTCCACTGAAGGCCATCAAATTAAAACACTGCATTACAGCACGTCAATGGGAGATAAAACATGCACTGAGAGGTTTGTGTAAGCGGGATGTGTTTAATGAGACCTTATAATAAAGTAGTTTTCAGCAATTTGCTGCTCCCAATAAATATTTTTGTTCTTCCTTATAACGATGCCTTGGCTTACTTTGAAATGAACTATGACAATAAAAATAATGAATATCACATCCTGTTTTTTTTTCAGAGGGGATGTCTTGGCAAAAATATTACAAAATGAGAAGAATAAAAATGGTCTGTATTTCATTTGGGGGTGGTATGGTGGCACAGTGTTTATCATTGCTGCCCGGCAGCGCTGAAGCTCTGGGGTCAATTCTGGGCCTGTGCTGATATCTGTGCGGAGCTTGTATCTTCCTCTAGATGCTCTGGTTTCCTCACACACTCCAAAACATAGCAACAGAGGTAAATTGGCTTCTGGGAAGATTGGCCCTGGTGTGAGTGTGTGTGTGTCTGTGTGTCCTGCCATGGACTGGTGTCCCCCCCCAGGGTGTAGCCTGCCTTGCTCCCATAGCTTGCTGGGTTAGGCTCCGGCTCACCTGTGATTTTCAATTGGGATAAGTGGTTAAAAAACGGATGTTTATTTTATTATTATTATTATTATTATTATTATTATTATCATCAATTTCCCTACGGGATCAATAAAGTCTTATCTATCTATCTATTCATGCAACACGGTGTAAAACATCATGTATTTGTAAATCCCTAAATAGGTTTTCATAATGCTGGCATTTTCAGGTTGTCTAATCTGATTTTAAAGATTACTGGAAGAATAACTCCAACTCATTGGCACTGTGTTACACTGGCATAGCAATAAACCAAGTCAGTTTAAAGCCCGCATGTGAATTTCACTGAGTCTGTGCTTCATCCTGTTAAGGTATATATCCCACAGGGCACATTGGGAACAATGTATTTTAGCAATAACATAACTGTAATTCTCCTTTCAATTTGTTAGATGTTTGTTTTAAAATCCCAAAGGGAACAATGAAGCTTTGAGTCTTGAGAATTGCTCAAACATGCCTGCTCTTCAGGGACACTTAGAGGCCTCCCTTGAGTGTTTTAAATAGTGTTTGGTACAGGAAGGCTACAGAATTGGAGTGAGCAGGGACTGGATGACACAGCATTGACATGCTGTCTGACAAAAGCACAATTAACAAGCAAAAGAGAAGGGGTCGGTATAGTGCAAACACAATTCCCAGCGATTTCTGGACTCGTAACTGAAAGGTTGTGGGCTCAAAACCCAGGTGAGTCACTCCTTCTGTGGGGTACTTTATCTGAATTGTTCCTGTAAAATATTTCAGCTGTATAAGTGGGTGCAAATGTGAGTCTCTTTGGATAAAAGCTTTGATAAATTAGTAGTAGTGCTTGTAGCCTCTTCACAAAGATGTGGTATCTGGTTTTCCTCAGTCTTAAAACCTCTTGCCTATTGAGCAGTAGAGAGTTATGAGTCAGTTGGCACCAGGAATCTGATAACTGGCTATTGCTTTGGTTTACAGCTTGATCACAGTTATTTTGACTAGATTACAGATGTAGGTATGAGCTGGTCTGTCATCTCCACTGCTCCCTGGCCCTTTGACTGTTTTTCTCTGTCCCACTGCTGTGTTTTCATCACTTACCCATGCTGCGTGTAACAAGGACTGATTGCAAGAAAACTCCCGACACACCCCAGTCTGACACCGGGGCTGCAAATCTCTCTCGTATTGAACCGGCTTAAAAAGAGTGATTCTGGCTGTTAAGTGTCAGGTCAGGACTGAGTTACTTACTTGCACTCTTTAAATGTTTGATACTGGACATCAGAGGGCAGTCAAATGCTGCAGAAGCTGTAGGCTTAGGCGATAGCTCCTGTGGATGTTTCTGTCACGAAAGCATTCTTTCCGGACCCTATGCAGACGACACAATCTGGGGTAGAGTGAGGAAAACACGGGGAAAAAAGCATGCAGGAGTCGGGAATGAAAACAGGGGGCGTGTCCATGGTGCGCAGGTGTTCTGGGGGGGTGAGTCCGGGGCAAACAATCCAAATCAGAGTCCAATGGGAAATCCAAGAGGAAGGGAAAAGTTCCAAAGCCGGACGGTCCATCGGAGACGAGGACAAACAGGATTAAAAACCGGAACGGGATCCGGTGGAGGGTCGGGGGGAAAAAGGGGGAACGGGACCAGACGCTCAGATCCCGGACTCGCTTGGTACTGGAACCAATGCAGAGACCGGAACAGAGTGCGCGTCTGGCTCTCATAGGGAGGCAGGAACCGGGAGCAGGTGCACAAAATCAACTCAAACGTGAAAGAGCCGGAGCGCTCTTAAGGGGGAGGGACTACAATCGTGACAGTTTCTTACCAACAAAATGACATTTTTTGATCCCCTCCAAAACAGCGAGAAGCCTTTTACTCATTTTATTTCCTTAAATTACTGAGCGAATGAGCGAGCAGATGAGTAGGCAGGACATCCAGTACATGAGCTGTAATGAAACCTGGTTATGTTCTAAGAACCTTCAGCCCGCAGGGATGCGAGCTGTCTGGGGCAAATGTCAAGGCTGCCCCAATCTTGAAGGTCAGGGATCATTGCGACCTGTTCGATTTTGTCAGCTGCAGGGCAGATTAAACATCTGTCTCAATCAGAGGCTCTAGTGGCAGTTCCATTTCAGACAGAAAGCTCTTATAGAACAATTTAAGGTTTTATTTTTTTCGAACTGGATACATTTAACTCCTCTGAGATTAAATGATGATTCCAATATATATAAAATGTCTTCCAATATATATATATCGACACTTGTTATTTTTTTAAATATTGGTTTCTCTAAAGAGAGGACATGTGGGCTTGCCGTTTGAGTTGTAAAAGAGCAATAAAGACAAAACAGGGATGCCTGTCAAAGCTTTTTACTGTCCAAATAAAACTCATCTCATTTCCATATTTTTGTTTAATAGACACTTTGTCTCTTGATAGGCATGCAGCCACTGTCAGAAGACGGTTGCGTGAGGTCTGTTTAATAGTCCAGCTCTCTCACTGTCCCCATGTGAACTTGTCTCTTTCCAGAGTGGATAGTGCCTCCTACGAGGTACTGCAGGTGGATTTCGAAATCGATAACTTTATCAGCTTGCGGTCCACGCAGACGGTCACCTGGCAGGTGGAGTATCCCGGCAACAGCATCGTGCCTGTGGAGGCAGCTTCCCACGTCTATGTCAGTCAGAGAGAGCTGACAGGGATCGTCCCCCTGGCCGAGGTAAGGAGATCTGGGGGCCTTGTCCGTCAAGTGTATTTGAAGTGGCTTCAGTTTAACTGGAGGAATTGAAAAGTCGCGTTTCTCAAAGAGATAGCGGTAGTGTTTTCTGTCACTGGGCAGTGCCTCCATCTTACAAAGGCCTCCTATCTACGTAATCGGCCATCGATGGGCCCGTCTCGGTGGCCAGTCAGTCTGGTTTGCTGTTGGCTTGCTGTTCGAGGGATGCTGATTGTTCTGTGATTGTGCTGTGGTTTTGTCATGGTAGAAGTAGACAAAAACCATGGCGCTGTTCATGCAGATAATACAATACCAAGTTTCCCTGGCTAATTCTGTAGGTAAGGACTCAGCCTGAGAACTGCCAGGTTGCCTAAGCAGACAGCGGAGTCAGATGGACTGAGGTGACAGGCTGAGCTGGGGCACAGAGATTGAAAGGAAGATATGGGGAGTCACGTTCTCCACGTCTTCATGGTCAGTCAGTATGCACCCTGGCAGTAATTTGGTCACCTGCAGAATTTACCGGTTCCTCAGCCAATGGGCAGTCTTTTGATTTGTGGTGTTTGGTGCTGTCTGACCGGGACATACAGTTTCCCTATCGCTGCTCATTTCATGCAGCCTGGCTTCGTCATCTGAGGTCCCCTGTGAACAGCACTGCAGGCGTGAAGTTTGATTTTCTAAAAACACCGCCAGCGATCAGCCGTCGCTGTAGGATTATGTCCCATCCGCGCCGCTTCACGGAAAAGGAATTCTAAATTGCAAGTCCTGGTTGCAATTTCATTTTCAAATCTCACTCCTCAAAAACTGCAGAAATATCTGGCCTTAAGCACCAGCCTGTTTCAGAAACTGGATGTGAATCAAGACCATAAGGTGAAAAGCCTGTGGCTTGTCATCTGCCCCCATGGTTTCTATACACTAAAGGTCAAACATATTGAATGCAGGAATATCGCAGTCCTGTTTTCTTGTGCCATTTATTGTGTGCTCTCTGCTTCTCTTTCCTCCAGACACAGAGAACTTGTGTTTTCCTTGTCAATCGAATCTCGCCAGCTCTCTGATGGCCAAGTGGTCTTAAAGGTCAACTCTCGTGTCCCTGCTGTTTGACATGGCAACCAGAATTTGTTACACCACAAGCAGCTGGGATTGTTTCGCCACTAGCCCAGGACAGACTTCCTCATGGGTCGGTCACCTGCGAGCATACCTGCTCCTCAGGGGAATGCCAGTGCTTCCGAAATGCGGGACATTTTCTTGGATCAGGGGTATTGGCCCAACACTTCTGGAGTACAATACCCGCAGTTCTATTTCTCTATCCTCCTGCGCTGGCCTTGAACTAGGTTCATTGGGTGTGAAGTTTACAGTTGGTCATGACAACTCTGCTTCGCATCGCAGAGCTTGTCGCTGTGCTCTCTGGAGATGAAGATCTGTCACAGCAGTGTTCAGCAGACTAACGCCATAGGCTACGTGCGGCACACAACACAGAAGCATTTCCAGATGCTTCTGACTTGGTAGATATTAAAACATATCTGTCTTGTTTATGACAGCAAAACTGACTGATGCTGCTTCCTGGCCCCTTTTCACCACGGCTGCTGTCCTTCAGCATTGTGCCGATAGCCTGGAGGAAGGCAGCAGAGGTGTTTTGAAGTGTAGAAAACGCAGTGCGCCTGAGAGCCACATCACCGGTTGGGAGAGACAGTCAGCTCTGCAGGTCGTCTCAGGGTTCAGCCCTCGCTGCTGAGTTTCAGCCATTTCCTCCTGGGGAATGTGGCTCCTACGGCTTCTAACCTCTCTCCCCCCTCAAAAGATTTGCCCGGGCGTACATCGTCACAAAAGAGCTGGAAAACAAGAGAAATCTGGTCAGGCGCCACAGGCAGTGCAAGGGGGATAGGTGTAGAGTCACATGGATAATGAGGCAGCACTTGGGCTGCCTTCCCAGAGAACTTCTTGTAAAAGAAGACCAAAAACAGCAAGTGAATTAATGAATGTAACAAAGTATGGAAGCATCAAATCTAATGCTAAATTTTACTTAAGATGTGTTGAAATAAGTTAATGGACTGTACATATTGTAGCAGTTCAGGTGGGTAGCTGCGTCAGCATGCGTAGGCTTGCAAAGGAACAAGTAATGGGTGTATTCCATGCTGAAAAGACAACGTTTCGGCCGTGGAGCCTTCTTCAGCTGTGTGTACATATTGTATGTGAGTGTACTGTCCCACAAATCCCAAGTATATGAGCAGAACCACCATCGCATAACACAGGTATTATGCAGCTTAAAGCATTGTTCTGAATTGTCTTATTTTGTGTCTTTCTGTATGTGATCTACTGTAGATTGGTTTGCTTGGCATTGCTCTAAACCTAAATGCTAGGTTCTTCTGGGCGTCTGACTGAGAGAATGTTTTTGTGGTGTTTTCCTCTTGCACTTGTACAATTACGACAATTTTCCCAGTGGCACCTCCGCAGCTATTTTCTGAGCCGTGGCCATTAGCTTCTCCGTAATGGGATGGAAGAGGCGCCGGAGCAGAGTGGGCCTGATTTCGGGAGATGGGTCTCGGGGGAGCCGCTGCGATCTCCCTGCAGATGAAAGGCAGGGAGGTCTTGTGCTCGCGCAGGATCGGCGCGGTTGAAGAACGCCTTCGCACGGCGCGTAAGAGCCTCGTCTCAGCCTCAGGCGCTCGGCTGCCAGGAGCTGCTGTTTCTTTACAGACGGACGCTATTGACCTACTTAGAATTCGTTACATCAGTCAATTAATACTTTCCTTGAATATGTTGACCGGTTAACCCAGGTTTCATGAGAATGAAGCACTGAATTTTATTAGAAAAATATAATTACATATTATACTGTAAGATATCTATTTCTATTTCCCCCCAAAATCTGTGCTTTATTCTACATAAAAAATATTTTATTTTTCTTCTTGGACCCAAATGTCAGGTCTGGGTGATAACAATTTGTTGCGCTTCTTAGTCTGGGAGTCTGATTCCTCTGTGAAAGAGGACCAGAGCAGATTGTTCTTCTAGGTCCTGTGCTGGGCTATTACTCCCCAGGCTGTGGGCCTGTTGGGTTCATCTGCATCATTAGGAAAAACATTCTGCTTCTGTCTTCTTTCCTTTTCACCCAATAACCACACTGTCTGTTGTTTTCCAACAGCTTAACGCTTGGAATGACTTTCAGACTCGCAGCCTGCTATATTTGAGAGAGGCCTAGGCCCCAGCAGCCTCATTGTGAGAATCAAAACATTTTTACCATGCTCACAGATAATATTTAATTCTAAGACCTGTTTTTGTTTTCTTTACTGGAGAATCTCAAGAGTTGCAGCTCACCCACTCAGCATTAGCCAAAAAGAGAAGAGCCGTGTTTACTGTCCGTCATGCAGTGTGGCCATTACATTTGAACATGTGTTGAGCCATTTTGCTTTCCGTTTTCTATAAGTGCCTGAATCAAGGGAGGTCTGACATAAAGGGAGGTATAAATGGCTGATCCTGCACTCTCTGACCCCCAGCTTCTCTCCCTGTCTGTGTGTCTCATGGAGAGCAAGCTGGGGTCTGTGAAAAGACACATTCCTAATACAAGAAATTGTATATGGCCAATACAGTGATCTCAGTCTTATAGTGGGAGTCACATCAGTTCTCCATTTGAGCTCAGTTCCCCTAAGTTTTCTGTGGGACTCTTGAGCGTTAAGAACAGCAGCTGGTCCGGCAGTGTGAGATTTGGAAGAGAGCGTGCTCAGTCTTCACCACACCCCGCTGTTCCAAGAGTCATGGCAATAAACAGATCTGGTTCATGGTTGGCCATTCTAAATGTATCTGCCTCCTCCGCCCACCAACTTTCAATTAAATATTCTACCACACTGTTTTATCCCCTTTAGAGGGAATCCTTGTACTTTGTCTTTGATGTCTTTTATAAACTTGAGGTCCTAAAAGACACAAACATTTCAAAGATCCTGCTTCCCTACAGACCTACAGAAAAGGCCCTCTCGTGTCTATGAAAATTACACAGGCAGCTGGTGTATCCACCAGAGCTCCACCAGTTACTGGCAGCTCCTTGCCTGCAAGATAGACGAGAGTGAAATAAGCATGACCAGGGAGATGTGGCGTGTAACGTTCAAATCATACCCTCTCGAGAATCTCATTGATTTTTCTTATGTCACTTTGATTAAGAGAAAGGAGGATTGCAGCATCTGATTTCGAGCCTAAATGTGATACATGTGCCACAAGAACACGTTAGGTAAAGTAAAGCCCCGTTAGCCCACGGAGAAAGACCAAGTTTAACCTACAAGGGGTTTTACAGCATTAGCTCTAGCAAAGGATTGTTTGCAATTGTTGTAACAGAAAGAATAAGGTTCTGGATCCCGAGATTAAGTTAAACAGATGAGTTTATTGCATGCAAGGAACAATAAAGCCGAAGTCTTGTTTCCCGCAAGAAACAACAAAACTGAAGTATTGTTCAAAGTGCTGGTACAAACTTTAGGTTTATATATTGTAACGCTTACGGCCAACAGGCACTGTGTAAGAGCCGGCTTACCAGAGCGGTGACGTCGCTGCCCTTCCCTGTGATAGCAGGGACCCAGCCCGGTGAGCTAAAGAGAGATCTCTCTACAGCCCAGTAGCTGTGGTCCTGCTATCACAGGGAAGGGCGGTGACATCACCTGCTCTGGTACGCCGGCTCTTATACAGTGCCTGTCGGCCGTAAGCGTTACACTCTCCCCCGCTTAAATCGCCGTCCCCGGCGAAGGGCTATCCCACCCCGCTTCTGACACCAATGTAACGCAACGGGGGCTCAGGCAGGCGCCCTTGCCGCATTAGGTCAGCCCCCCACCGTCGGGGGCTCGAACCCGGGACTCCCGCGTCACTCTGCAGGGACCCAGCCCGGTGAGCCAAATAGAGATCTTTAGACTTTAGAACTTTATGGACAGATCTGCTGCGCTGCACGGACGTCCTGCCCAGGGCGTATCCCACCTTATGCCCCTTGTTACTTGCCAGGTTAGGCTTTGGCTGCCCCATGACCCTGTACTGGATAA